GATACAATATCCTTTTATTTCCCTCTCTTTTCTTCATTTAAACGCTAAAATGTAATAAAAAAAGTTAAGGTAAAATCTTTCCCTCATATTCCCCTTCCTCAAAATAAGTATATGTAGTATAAATACAACCAAACTCAAGTACAATATGGAAATTTAGGAAAATTTTAGAGAAAATCCACTATTTTTTAAAATTAAAATTGTGAATTTTAATATGATTGTTTTATTTTATAGTTTCAACTATATTAAATTATAAAATAAAAATAATTAAATAAAAAAAGCATTTAGTATTAGAGATCTATTTCTATCAAATGATTAATATTATATAATTTAAAATAATTTAAACTGTATCTATGAGGCTTTGTTGGTTCTTTGCTTATTGTTATTTGTTTATATATTTTTTTGATAAAAAGACAATTTTTTTAATATAATTAATAATAAAATGCAAGATTGATAATAGGAGAAAACAGAGCATGTTATATTCGTCACCAATTCCAATTAATTTTTACCAGGGTTTTTAATTCTATAACTAATCTAGTATTAAAATGAATAGTTCAAGAAAAACCTCAAAATAAGTAATCAAAGAAAAAACTTCAGAAATCCCAAATTACTGTAAGTTTAAACATATCTAAGAGAAATATCAAAAGAAAACAGCCTCTATCAGAGCGGTCTTACAAAAGAAAACGTAACTTTGTATAATAGATTCTAATTTCCCTCCCCTTTACTAATATCAGTTGGCATAAACCAATTTGCATTTAACTTGAATTTCTCATGATTTTTCGGGAACATATCAACTCCAAAAAATTTCAAAGCCAATTAAATCTCGAAAAATCCCAGTCATGCCATTCCAAAAGTAGCCCCACCCAAGGTTCATTGCTTCCAATGGTTAGAGTATGCATTACAATTATTGACAAGATAATTTTATGTGTTTGTGATTATATTTATTATATTTATGATTTTTTTATCAAATATTAACTTTTTTTGTGTACATTAAATATTGTTGAAGTCTTTAAGATGTCTACTATATCAAAAAAAATAATAGCAGTCATTGCTATTAGTAAAAACTCTATGATATAATAGTAAGATTTTTAAATTATCAAATAATCATATATATTATTGAGATAAAATATCAATAATATAAAACTTATCATGTGTGATATTTTGTTAAGTGGCAAGATTTATTCTCATGTGAATAATATTTTGAAATAAGAAAGATATGTGATATGATAGATCAAGAGGTAATGAATTATCAAGAAAGAATAATGTAAAAAGAAAGTTAGGGATACGAAAGAATAATAGCAAAAAATTTATTATTTTTAACAATAATTATTATTAAATACGTTTTAAAAAATGGACATATAATATCTACATAAACAAAATATTAAATATAAAAATTAATTTTTAAAAATATTTATTAAATAATAATATTTTTTTATAAAATTAGAGATTAATATATAATATTTTATTATTATTATTATAAAAACTAATAATTAATAAAAAATTTAAAATATAAACGAATTGCACAAAACACGGCTTAAAGTCTAGTATATATAACAGAACATTATTGTTAAAAATTCTTACACGGAATAAGTTGATAAAACCATTCATTTGTCGCGTAGATTTTTTCTTTGACATCGTTAGTAGGTTATTGGCTTTTAACTAATGCAAAGTTTTCTTTTTCTACCACTTTACCATATCAAAATTGACAGTATACCTAACACATTACTTTTAAAATATAGTATGAGTTATTCAAGTTGCTCCAACTTTTATTTTTTATGTTCAAGTTGCCCTATTTGATATATAGACCATTATAAAACTCCCTTATGAGTCTCAAACTTAATATATTTGCCTAATTGTCATTCAAAATATATAATTACGAAATAACAGTTTAGTCTTATAGGTTAAATTTATGGTGGGATTAATTAATAAAGAAATTTGTTTTCTTGAATGTTCTAAACTGATATGGGCGTTGCTTAAGATCACCCGTGGATGTATTAATTTTAAAATTTGTAAAAATTGAGTGGATTACACACTCTAATCATAAATATATGTATAAAAAATTTAGTAGATCACAAAAGTGAAAATAAAAACTTTTTTACACCAAAACTATTTGTAAAGTTATTCAAATAATTTTAATAAATATTTCTTATATGATAATTTATTTAAAATATTAAAATTTTTTTATTATAATTTTTGATACTTTAATTGTCAGCATATAGTAAGATTATGATGCGCTGAAGTTGACATGGGCGTACCATAGCTAGCGTATAAGAAAAACTTTTGATTTGTCAAGCTTCAAACCCATTTCCGTACGCACATGGAGTTTCGGCGTAATAATATTAACCACCTTGATAGATACATCTCGCAACCTGTTCCATCTCCTCCATCCCCCAATTTCAAACCTGTCAAAAAAAATAAAAAACCCACCTCCGGGCATTAAAAGACCTCTGGAAGATATCCAGTCCGAGAATTGAAATGGTCAATACTAGCAAAATTCCGTTTTATTGGATCAGATAAGTATGGTTCATGGAAGGTGGCCAAAGATAAGGTTCATAAATGGTACTATGGTAGCTGTTATTTCAGGACGAAAATGAGAGGTGACTAAAAGGCATACACAGAAAAAATCTGATCATCTTCGGGATGAAAAAGAGGGGTGACCTAAAACGTAAACGGAAAAATCCTCGTCATTTCGAGACGAAAATGAGAGGTGACTCAAAAGCATACACAGAAAAAAATTCTCGTCTTTAATCTTGTTGCTTTTTATAGGACTCGCATCGTAATCAAACGACCGAATTAATTTAATTTCTTTGTCAACTTTCAATTTTTGGCCCACCAATTATTGTTCTAAAACCAAATTTGGACCACCGTGACCAATTCAGTGATTTAACACTTATAATATTATTAAAATGTAAATTC